AGTCCTAAATTATGTCTTGGACTTAAATTGGCATTAACCTACGTCCCTGAATATGTTCAGACCCAAAGGATTGCAGGCCACTCGCTCCGCCTCCCTGTAACCAGTAAATAGTTTGGAATTTTATGTAACTCTAAAGATATGATATGTAAGCCTGTTATGTAAAAAGTTTCCCAGAATGATTGTTGAAATTGGCATTGTGTAAGTTAGGCAGAGATTCATAAAATTACCGAGTAATTTACCTCCATGACGGAAAGTATAGAAATATTATTCAGAATCACACGCATGCGTGCCGATAAGTGTGCACGTCTACACGTGCACAAAAACAGTGCAGAGATATGCCTACATCTAAGCAATTTATTTCTTTTGATGAATAATGTTTTTGCATGCAACAAATTAAGTAGATTTTCTAACGTAAAACCACCTTTTAACGTGAGACAATTCTGGAACATATGCAAACAATTATTCTTGTTTTCTTCATAGACCTATTCGCATTTTTCTACATATTCATTTAATAAAAAATATAAGATAATTTACATCAACATGATAAAGTAAATCATAAGTATATAAAATACATAATCGTGACTACGAGGGATGTTGTATAAAATCCTACATTTGTTTTACAATTAATCAGTAACTTTATTTATCTTAATAATATTCGATATACTTTTGTAAAGATAATTTTATTAAACATAACAAAAAAAAAAAAAAAAAAAAATATTAGGCTTTGTGTATGCCAGAGAATAACTTTATATGCAATTACTTTCAGCGAAAACATTTAGAAGTTTATATTTTCTTGATGTAAATAAATAAATAAATAAATAAAGTAATTACCTCATTTTCCATGTTTAATCAATCAAATATTTTTTTTCACCGAAAATCCCGAATTTATATGACACTATTCAAGTTCAGTATATATAAATAACAGTGTATATTTTTATATCCTATAACTAACTAACATTCACGCTGGTGCACATACATATATACCCTCCATGCTTGGATTAACATACCATTTATATCTATGATGATGTAATCATTAGAGTAAGCTAGAGTAGTACGTAGTATCATCTTACAATTTCACATTTAATTATCAAGGTAGATTTATTTACATCATTTCAACAACAAAGGGATAAAATATGTATGTCACAAGACCTCTGACATCATCATTGAAGAGCCGGTGCGTATACAGTTGGATTTTTTTTAAGAAGGATGCACCCCATCCCTCTATTCTAACCCAATGTGTGACACTTGTTTAAATTATTAGTGTTCAACAACCAATATTAAGACCACAAATGACAAGTTTGCGGATATGTACATATAGTCACGGGTCTGGTCTGTTATTTCTAAAACAAATTAGTGTTTCTTTGGTTAATTGCTATTATAAATGGACAGAATTTAGGACCAATTTCCAAGCTTAACTATGACCCTGAGATACACATAGTATACATGCCGGAAAAGTTTGTATATCATGCATACCGACGCACTGCACAATATAAACCCGTATATTTTCAAATTCCTAGCGGTATTGAAGTTAATTACAGATTCAGAAACCAATTTAACAGAATTATTTTGATTTCTTGATTAAAACACGTTATAAATCAATAACTTTCAATTAGTAACGTTTAGTAACGTTTGACATTTAGACTTCTTTTAGCAATGAGAATAACTTTATTTTGTAAAAAAAAAAAAGCCCCCCCCCCTTACGCCTCTCCCCCCCCCCCCCCCCAAACACACACAAACATACACACACCCATAATTAGTGTACATCGGACAAGCTACGTACATGGATACTTTCATACATACAGGTATTTGAGCAAGCATGTAATCACACTTAAACTCTCTTTTTTTGTGTATATTACCCCCTGGTGCCTAAAAAGTACGTCAAACTAGTGTCAAAAATGGGTCAGTGGAGTAACTCACTAGGGCACGTGTGGTTAAGTCAACCGCAGCATTCGCGCTTTGACGTAGTATTGATTGTGTTGAAACTACGTCATTCGATGAAACAGCCCAGAGGCTATCTAATCTAAATACAATTCGCCATTAATTGGTAACATATATCGTTATCTGAGACACTATTCTAATAATTTACCCCCTTCGCATACCGTTTATTTTACATAAAAACCTACAGTGATGGTTAAACACTAACTACGTCAAAAATGACTCAAATTCTCATGCCGGTATATAACAATGGATGATGTAAATTATACGTAACTCTGTTGTTTATACATAGCCATTTCAGTCTAACTGTTCATTCGGAAATGCATTCCCTTAAGGCCATTTTTTTTTTATATTTTGGTTTACTGATTTTTTCCAAAAAAAGGTAGGGTCGGCGGCGGCAAAAAAAAAAAAAAAAAAAAAGTTTTCATAACTATAAATGTGGTGCATAGTTTACATATACATAGTACTTACTAGAGCAATGAAATTAAATACATCGCCGATTGTCTATTCCAAAGATTGTTTAAATACACAAAAAAAACTTTTGCTCATATTGCCATTGTTTAAAAACACACATGAAATCTACACACAATGACTTTTGACAAGTGGCAAGCGAGCTCTTCAAAAGAATCTGTCATTCTTTGATGTTTACACACTGTTGTGTAATCTGAATCATCAAAGGTGCCGAAAATCAGCTGACTTGCACTCATTTCTTTATAGATCAGATGTTAAAAATCAAAGTGCTGCAGCACTGAATGCGACGGACATGCAACCGGAGAGACATTAAGGCTTCTTTTAGAAAAAATAAACAAAACAAAAACAAAACACAAAATATATAACAGAGAAAATTTGTTCCATACAAGTTCGAGATTTGTAGAGCAATATATTTTGTGTCCCAAATTGATATAATTCAGATTTTCGATTTCAAGCACTTAAATACAGAATGAAATTTATGCCTAAAAACTCTGGTCAAACTTGTAAATCAGTGTCCTTATCGATTTATTCTAAGAAATGATATGTAAATAGAAAAAAAACTATCAACGAAATATTTCTAGAATAAATCCAGGCAAATAAACTTCAAACATAATACATTATACATTTGAGAATGCTATTTAGAATTGCTTCGTGTTATATCATAGTGGGCATACAGACAATAAAATATAAGTCATTTGTATTTTTATTTCTCTTGGATATGTCTCATTAAAAAAAAAAATTGGTTAAAATCATCAGCAATTAATAGTGCATTTCTTAGATTTTTTTATTAACAAGGTAAAGATGTAGAGGCCAGAGCACATCGTTTTTATTTTAATTTAAATGTCACTTAAGCACTACAGTGTTTATAGTTGTCCTTTTCAACTTCACACTAAATTCCATTTTCAACTAGTTTGCTTCTTACAATTGTATAGCATTTCTAAAAGTATTGCATTACAATCCGCTGGTTTATTAATTACATGTTTAATGTGTACTTCCTAATCGCCTGTCCAAAAATCAGAACAGGTGAAGCAGAATCTATTTTTAGAATAGCGAAGGTTAATTCATTATCATGACCTAGTAAAATATGTAAACAAACCACAAGAATCGGAAGTAGAACTGATATTATAACTTCCTTACCATGAAAGACTACATGGCGGTAAAGTGTCTTACATGCATTTTCAAAAATAGATATTTATACTAACCATTGTACTGTATCTAATATATTAATAACTGCTGAATATTCAGCTAAACCCGCGGTATGAGTCACGAAAATAGTTCTTCTTTTATTAATGCGCGAGTTATCCTAGAGTCACGAAAAACTTTTGATTTGTTAATAATAATGTTTTGTATAATGTAGAAATATTTATTTCCTACTAATAATGTCTTGGAACTCAGAGGTTACACCTTTATTGTAGTATAATTTGCTGTCCTACTTTTTCGACAGCGGTAAATCGTTTCAGCAGTAATTTGCATATTGCGCAATAATACTAACGGGACTACAACGTTTTTATCAATAATATACGTTCATATTTTAACTTGGATAACTTAATTTGAAATTGAAAAGGCTTAATATGGAAGATATTAAGATATCCAGACAAAGTATGGGAGTTTTGAAGGATCAAATTCATGTACTATTTCTTAGGCTGTTAATTGGTTTAGGACACATTGCGCGATAGTAGCCAACGAAATCCCATGTGTAGATGACTTAGCTCTGAACGCGCCTGAGGGCGCGTCCGTCGCAAAAAGTGTCAAGAAAAGATTACACAAAGTCATGTTCAATTTTGCCCATTGTGAAAATATTTTTATCGGATAAAAAGCAGGTCAATATTTGACATAAAAATCTATTAAAAGTAAGTGCGGGCATTTTTTTATTTTGTTTGTTTGAAAACCTGTATTCAATCTGCTTTTAAAGACTAATTTTTTTTGTTAAATCTGAAAATACTGATCTTGTCAATTGCAGCAGATTTCTCTCGCGTAATTGCTTATGTAATTTGGCGTGTTTTTTTTTTGTTGTTTGTTTTTTTTTTTTTTTACATTTTTACGCATTTCGACCTTCAATGCATTGATGAAATATGATCAAAGCCTAATTATAATTCTGTGAGAATGGCTTGACCCCATTTAACAGACATTCTTTCATAATGAGTGTATATCAAAATCCCCTTGATCATAATCCCCTTGGTTGAAAAATGACATAGTGATCGAAATCCCCTCAACAGAAATGACCGGGTGTTCATAATCCCCTTGATGGATAGTCAAAATCCCCTTGGCAAAAATGATGGGGTGGTCAAAATCCCCTCAACTTGTGAAAAACAACCCCCTTTACTCAAAATTCTTTTTCCTTTGATCTTTTGTCGCTCCAGCTAAACTATTGTGTTACATAAAGAAATGTTGCAAACAGCAGTTACATTGAGTAGAGGAAAGAGTATGGAGTATACTTTAGCAATATAATACAGGTTATTTTTAAATACTCCAATGTTGTCATTTTCATGTTAATATAAAATATAAAACCAGACATAATATTTCACTCTTATTTATTTTCTGACAGCACATTTTACATATGTTAGCACATTCACAGAATTTACATAGCACCGACATTATTTTATTCTGATAATCTGTCCCAGAGCACCCAAGAAGTCTTCAAGGGATTTAATGCCACTTGCGTACTGTGAGCACAAAACTTTCAGTCTCTGCTGGTGAGCTTTAGTGGCCTTCTTCACTCGTTTCTGTAGAAGTTCACCACGATTACATCTCAGAATTTCAGCTCCCACCATTTTTGCATCCTTTTCAACACATTGCACAACTGTCCAAAGTGAAGGATTTGAATGTCCAACAAGGTGCTTAAACCCATTGTTCCAAGATTCACACTGGTTATTTGTTCTATCCTGGTCAGTCATTGTGGCACTGTGCACATTCCAAATTGGTGGAGGAAATCTTGGAGAGGAGCGTCGGAACCTCATATTTCCATTAGCAGTGATGACTGCGCGAAAGGATCCATTTACATAGTTGGAGTCAAAATACTCAACCAGACACTGTAGATGATCTGGGGCCTGTTCACGTAGTAACGTCAAGCCTTCTTGCACATCGCTGCATGGAAGAAACGTCAGACCGTCAAGCTTTCCGCAGAAGGATTTCACATCATCATCATTGTTGTAGTCAGACTGAAGACCCTCTGCTTGCACTCTTCTCCAAGTAGCTTGGGTTAGATGGTAAAAACATCCCTAGATGGTGTAAAAAAAAAGGTTTTAATATGCTGTTTAAATAGTCTTTTACATATTATAATACAATTAAACAAGAATATGAATGATATATATATACATACAAAGCCTGATCATGTGTTGTATTGAATGATTCATTTTCAGCTTTTATCCTGATTCAACGTCAGACATGTTAAAGGCTTGTATAATTATTAACAGAAATTTGGTTTCATTTATTTTTTTTATTTAATGAAATAAATGGTTTCATTTAATTTTTTTTATTTTTTTTCATTTAGCAATGAAATAAATGGTTTCATTTAATTTTTTTTATTTTATTTCATTTAACATTGAAATAAATTATTTCAAATGATCTTATTTTTTATTACCTGGATATGAATGTTGCTGGCCAATACAGTTCTCACAGCATTGTGTATAGCTATCTCATAGTCTGCCATAATTTGCTCTGGGTTAGGTCGGATACCTCGCTGCAGACAGGCATCTAGTAGGGCAGTCAGCATTTCTTCATACACCAGCTGTTGCTTTGACGGAAGGAGTGCGTAGACAACTGAGACACAGGATTCACCTAAAGGTACACGGATGACAAAAAGTTGTTTGAACTGAGAGGGCGCTGTAGAGTGGGTGCCATCCATAAACCATCTGGATGCACTATCTAGGAGGCGAAGACAGTCATTAGTGGCGAAGATGAGGATACGGTTGTCTGGAGACTCGTTGTCGTAGATGACATTACTTGCAAACTCAATAGGGAAAGGAACAGGAACATCTCTGATTGTTGATGGGTTCTTAGGTGCTGTTCCTCTCTTGGCGCGTCTCACAGTTTGCTTCAAACTCTTTACGGAACTGGCAGCAATAACCTGAAGTAAAAATAAAGCAACAGTTTTCATGCACTCAATTCAATTATTTCATTTTCCTATTTCACAGTTGTTTGTCTGGCCTTTGTGTCTGTACATTCTGGGCATTTAACATATTCATCAGTATTGTCATTATATCATTAATATCATCATTAAAAGTAATCTTACTAATATAAATTTTCAAAGTGGTTTATTTCATGAGAAGACCCATGTGCATTTTACAGAGCATGTTGAAATTTAAAAAAGAACAATTTTGAAATTTACAGGATTTCTATGAGTCTTATTTATTAACTCACCTCTGTAGGCTGCAGCGATAATTTATCTGTTACTATCTGTCCGGGTTTACCACGGTTAGCTTCAGCAGATGCTTTTATCTCACTGCGGACTTTAAGTGCCTGCATTGCAAATTTGTCAGGAGCATGACTGTGCGCGGTTTCAGATTTGACAGAAGACACCTAGAAATAGAACATAAAGTTAGCATGCTGAAATTAATATTTTACCTATTATAATTCAGATTTATGCATACTTTTATTATGATGTGCTTTATGTCTCCATTAATATTTTCATGTAATCTCTTTTGCTTTACTTAAAAAGAGTGCTATACAAAGGTTAAAAAAAATAATAAGACGAAAAAAATTAATTCAGGCATAACTTGCACAATTGATACATATTAGTTTATCTCATGTTCAATGTACCAAATGATTATTATTGATTATATACTTACATGTAAATCAGTAGTCAGTGCACCTTTACAGTTCAGACCAATTCTCTGAGAGCATTCCCACCGCATTGAGGACTTATTTTCATTTTTCTTTGTGTAGGCATAACCTTCATACAGAAGCTTACGAGAACCTTTGTTACTTGTAATGAATTCCATTTTGGGTATTCATGTCTATTGCAGAGAGCCATCATATTATATACCCAACAAAATAACAGTTTGCAGTTAAGTAAAACAAAGATGAAGTAATTTTAGATAGCAAACTGCAATTAATAGCCTCATTTTAAGTTATTATCTGGAAAGATCTAAAGCTAGTGTGCAACAAATTTGTCTTTAAAGGTGTTTATCATTGCAAAGATTAATTGATTGTTTAACCAATTCTCTGAGAGCATTCCCACCGCATTGAGGACTTATTTTCATTTTTCTTTGTGTAGGCATAACCTTCATACAGAAGCTTACGAGAACCTTTGTTACTTGTAATGAATTCCATTTTGGGTATTCATGTCTATTGCAGAGAGCCATCATATTATATACCCAACAAAATAACAGTTTGCAGTTAAGTAAAACAAAGATGAAGTAATTTTAGATAGCAAACTGCAATTAATAGCCTCATTTTAAGTTATTATCTGGAAAGATCTAAAGCTAGTGTGCAACAAATTTGCCTTTAAAGGTGTTTATCATTGCAAAGATTAATTGATTGTTTGTTACATATAACTATAATTGCAATGATTAGTTATAATCAACTATCATTTATTTGTTTGTATTTTACAATTTTCTCAGCAATAATAACATCAATAAAGGGTGTCATTATTAACTGGCTGTGACAAACATACACCTTTTAATTGTTTGTATGCTTTTCTCTTTTTTTTCAGCAATTCTTGAAGCAGTTGGTTCTTAAATTCATTGAACTAAAAAGAAAAATAAGAAAAGAAATTTCCCAACCATTTCACATTATTTGAGGGGATTTTGACTACCCACTGAGGGGATTATGACCACCCCTTTATTTTTGCCAAGGGGATTATGATAACCCTGTCATTTCTGTTGAGGGGATTTCGATCACTATGTCGTTTATCAACCAAGGGGATTATGATCAAGGGGATTTTGAGCGTCTCCCTTTCATAATACACCAAAAAAACACTTTCCCCAACTAGCAGACGACAGGCTATTCTCGAGTAAAGATAACCGGTTGCGTATCTCACTGTATAAATCGTATGTTAAATAGTCTGGCATATGGTAGGTTTAACAGTTAATTAAAATACTTACCGTGACATTTCTTTGACAAGTCGTTATTAGCAGCGTATTTCAAGACAACACAGAATTTTTTTGGGGGCAGATTTTTTTTTTTTTTTCATTTTCCCAAAATACAGAGTCGGCGGGTCAGTAAACCGAAATATCAAAAAATAATGGCCTAAATGCCAAATCGAATTTCAGAAATCGGTTGAGTAAAAAAGATAATTTAACGGTTACCTTTAAATTTTCCATATTGTTGCTCGTAGCTTAATCCGAAAGAAAATCGTTTACTATTTCGCACGGTAATGTCTATTCATCCACACAACGTTGCAGTGATGTTCCCGTGCTTCTTTTCAATTATTAATATCCCAGTTAGTGAAAAAATCAATGTTTTAGATTTATTTCATAGATCGGTTTTCCATTCAAACAGTTGACAAAAACGATATAGTTTGCAAAACACCAATAATATAAAATCGAATCATTCCATACGAAAAAAAACCTATTAATTTTCCAGTAAAATAGATTTGAATTAAATAATGCACATTAGGAATATATTGAACTTTATTTCAATGCTACAAATATATAAAGAACGCGCTTATCAATGCGCTTTTTAACGTGAGATAGGCAAAATACATAAACATATGTAATTTTAAGAACAGAATCGACTTAACAAAACGTAGACCACGAGAGCAGTCAATAGAGCGACGGATCATGACAGTTTATAGCCTATCCGGGGATTCATAAACGTCCGGGATGCTTCATTTGTCCCAAACGCTTTACATTCACGGTATAAGCCATCTCTGCACTTAAATGCAATTATGTTTTTTTATATAAATTTCATTTGAACACTATCAGAGTGAAAACCGCCTTTTAAATGTTCAAATAGGTAGAAATATGTCATTCAACTGGTAAAATTATGTCATTCAAATATGCAATAATTGAATATTCATGATTAAATGATATGAAAACGCCTCATTATTCACGGTTCATTGCACGTGTACATATATAATTGTAAATTAATGACATCCGCAAATATTATGATTAAAATTATTTCACAGAATAGACGTGTTTTTTTTTCTTCGTTATTTCGTTATTTCATCTATTTCCTTTCAATATGAATTTCTCATTTCTTTTTCAAAATTGACGAGATCCCAATTAAAATTCTAACTTTGCCAAAATAGCATAAAAGTTTATTTGTTTTCAAATCAAATTTGCGAAGAAACAAACCCTAGCCGAAAAAGGCGTTAATAGCCCATTATGCCTCAGAAATGCTATCATTTTTATATCTTAAAACCTTTATATTTTTGGTATATTATTACAGTTTCCAAAAATTACTCATTTAATCTGACACTTAGATAATCCTATTCTTAAGCTCTGTTGGCAATTGGTATACTTTTAGTGAATTAGTATTTTGTAAAGAAGTCAATTTACCAATTTGTTTACATTTTGCTACCTTTATGACATTGTTTAATACTACTTTCTTCAGTTGTTTTACAGTATACATGCTATAAATCAATTTTGAAAACATTTAAAGCATAATTGACATTTCTAACGAATTAAAAAAACATGAATTTCTAAGGCATAATGGGCCTTTAACAATATTCACAATTATTGATATCGCTATGAGAATTGGGCATATTATGACGTATATATGAGCCGTGTCACGACATAACCAACATAATGGGTTTGCGACCAGCATGGATCCAGACCAGCCTGCGCATCCGCGCAGTCTGATCAGGATACGTGCTGTTCGCTATCAGTTTATCTACTTGTAAAAGGGTTGGTAAGAGAACAGCATGGATCCTGATCAAACTGCGCGGATGCGCAGGCTGGTCTGGATCCATGCTGGTCGCAAACCCATTATGTTGGTTTTGTCGTGACACGGCTCATATGGAGACTTTAAGTATCCTAAATAAATATGGTATATAATATTGATAGATCTTAGTGTTTAGGAGTACAAATGCCCCTTGTAAGATGTCAGACAAATATTTTCTTTGCTAGTTAACTTCAACAGAATAGGAATTCGTGCACTGTACAAATATTTACAATCTTATAGTAGAATTTCCATTATAAGTCCGAATTAGGGTGATAAAAATATATAGAAGATCCTTTCATATTTTAAGACGGGATATAATTATTTGTATGAAATAAATTGTGCATGTATAATATTATATACCATTAGAAAGTATTTGTAGGCCTATTATTTGGACAAAGTTATGTCCATAATGCGAAAATGACATAATTTCAAGATATTTAATCAAATTAACCTTATAAATTCTCAAATACAATTAAAAATTTAACAACTTGTTTAACAATGAAAATTGATTGCATTTTAATGCTTTTATCTACAAGGACTTGCAGGTGCCGCATGTACTTAGCCAGGTCCGCCAATGTGCTCAATTTTATCATTTTTGTGTTGAAATCCGGATGAAAAGTTCCTAAGTCAAAGCAGGGCACGTTTTGTGGATGTAAAAATTAATTTATTTCTTATCATTAAGTAAAGTAAATATTTTCAGTTTAGAACCTATACCAAGCATTTGTTTAACCTTTGCTTGAAGCCTGATATCGTCGAAAATGACAGGTGTCCGTAAAATAGGCTAAGTCGTTTAATAGATTGTCTCTTATTGACCAATATTTTGGGCACTGATAATAAGTAATAAAAAGTTGATGCACAAGAAGCGATCCGGCGATTCTTACATATAGATTAATCATTAATCTGCTGTTAGCCTTTGCCACCAGTATAGAGCCAGGCAGCATGGTCATCCATGCGCCAGTCTGACCAGCAGGCCCTTTACTGCTGACGGACCAACTTAAAATTTTCCTCTAGTTAACCCTATAATTGATAATGGGGAATTCCAAGACTAAACACTTGACAAGTCCATTTAAGAAATTCAGCAGGTAAGGAATAGTTATATAAAAAGTAACACTTCACACATATCGTTTGAATTTATATGTGTATTGAAGTCTTCACACTTTCAATGATTTATCGATATGTTTATATTGTCGATTAGTACGATGCAAAAATATTTGGCAATTTGTTCTTCGACGTTCTTTCTTGCGTCCATTTTGAGGAGCGAATATTTATCATGTAAAATGCAATAAACAAGAGAATTCCTGGCAGATGGACAAAAAATACAGACATAAAAGCCAAAATAATTATGTGCTTTATAGACAAAAGGTTTACTGGTAAATCAGATAATGATGTTAGACAAATGTCTGTGTGTTGGAAATTGTTGCGATATTTTCTTTTCGTTTATTGGCTAATTTTATCATTAAAATGACAGTGTCAAGAATTGTGCGGCCGGTTTACAGAGGTTGCAGCAGACGTTTTGAAAGGGAGACTTTAGGGGAAGGGCATCATATATAATGTTGGTATAACCTTTGCATGGTCCAGCACTTTTTTATGATTATGTTTTTGTGCTACTATAATTATACAGTGCATTACTAAACTAAAAAGCCCTGATCACCCCTCACTCCCTGTCCCCACCCTCCCTGTACATTATTTTGAGGGTTTGTGCGATTTTAATTAAATTCGTTTTTGCCGTGCAATGCTTGTCAATAGCTTAAATCTTAAATTAGACTTAGAATTGAACTTTTTGCACGTTTTTAAAAAAAAATTAAAATAGATTGTTTTGAAGACTTTCAGAAGTGTTCCTTGGTAATAATAAGTGTCTCAGTAAAAATTGCATTTTGAAAACCCCAGACTACAAATTATAACATATACCGGCCCTAGGCTAGTTTCAGATTTTGAAACTAAAAAGAATAGCTTTTTTAAATAAAAAAGGATTTTCGATAGCAAGAAAATGTACCTCATTTGCAATGTTATCAATTGATACATAGCCCCATAGATTTATAATGACTTTTATGATATTAAGACAAACTAAGATGCTTTTGTTTATGTGTTGCAAATATTTACATTTTTATAAAAACATCTTTCATACCTATATTAATGGCTACAAAAGTTGTATAAAGTACATGTGATTAAAGCCTTCTACGTAGTTTTATCTTGTTTTCAAGTTGTTTACTTTAATAAATCGAATAATAATACACTAGGATAATGATTTTCACTCAACTAAAACGTTTATAAAACTAGTTTTATCTTT